TTGTTTTCCAGCTGCCTGTAAGACGTATTTTCAGACGGTACGCAGGAGCTTCAGATATACGCAGCCAGCCAACACGCTGCGTGCGGAGGCTATCTGCTCGGAGTCGGGCCAGAAGAAAGAGGGTAAGACTTTATTTGGTGACTATTTTTCAGGTGCATTGATAGATGTGTTGTGTCCATACGCAGTGCGCTGATTCATTGTTTTTTTTTTTCCAGCTGCTGAAGGCGAGGCAGAGTGTGCTAGCAGATGAGGAAGTGGAACTCTGGAAGTCCGCCTTCCTCGGCGGTGTCTCTGGATGGATTGTACGGTCGCCGCCATTTCGTAGGCCGGATCCCTCTGAACTCTGTGTTAAGCTGCAGTCCCGGTTAGAAGCGATGCCGAAGTACAGGGCCACGCACACTAGGCGTCTGCACATCGGACCTGCCTCGGAGGGAATGCTGCCAGTTACCTCCAACCCCGAGGAAGCAAACGGACCGTTCACGGAGTTTTAATTTTTAGAAACGCATGTGTTTGGATACGCGTTGTATATAGTTGTGTGTGTTTTAATAAAGCTCTTTCTTTGCATAAACAGCTTCCTGCAAATGTTCATTTCCTGTATAAATTCATTCATGTCCTTGATGGTAGCATAATAATTGTGTAGTAGTGTAGGATAACATAAATACACACCATATGAATGAATAAATATATGAATGAATATATATATATATATATATATATATATATATATATATATATATATATATATGTATATGTATATATGAATAAATATATATATGTAAATTTATATGTAAATATATATATATATGCCAACCAATCACGGGCGACTTTACTTGTTTAAAAAGAAGTGGTTCCGTCCAATACTCAGTAAGAAAATTAAAGCCTGGCGTGGCCACGTGTGGTTTTGCTGCCAATCACGAGCGATTTTACTTGTTTGAGAATAGTGGTTTCAGCCAATACTGAGTAGGTTATTCAAGCCAGACTTGGCCAGCCGTGCGGGTTTGCTGCATTCATATGCTAATTAGGGCCATTAGTACAGCTGATCGCTCTCCACATACGTCACGGTACGTTTTCGACAATTTGTGGCACGACAAACGCGGACAAGCACGGGTTGCAAATTGTCGGAAACTGACGAAAATCAGGCAGATCTGCGGGAGTTTACGGGGGTTTACGGGGACGAAAATCTCACTTTTCATGCAGTGATTAGAACACCTACATGTGTGCTAGTGTATTTGCCTTTTGCCTACAGCCTTTTTACGTTGCAGACGCTATATCAGATCTAGATACTGCTCAATAAATAGCTTTAATTTGAGGAAAATTAAACTCTGTATACTCTTATTCAATTATTCAAGAAAGTTCTTTGCACCTATTGGGGCCATTTTCTAGATTTTTTTTGCACCCTAATTCTGGCAGTGGAAATTATGGGGTTGAGAATGGCTCGAATAAAAAATACAGTGGTTACTGTGAAAGATTTCTGCCATAGAAGCCCCCCTATAGTAAGCACAGAACTTTATTCTAACATCATTATGGAATGATTATGTTTCTGGAGCAACTGTTGCACCTCCTCAAATTGGTGGGAACTTTCCGGGAAGACAAAAGTAACTCCATAAACCGGGCTTTTAGTTTGGAATATTACATAGGGTGTACACCTTGGTATATCACATCTTAGGCTTTGCACAGCTTAGGGCGTCTGGGTTATCCTCCGCCGTAAAATCCAGAAATTTAGACTCTCTGAAATGCTATTTCCTGCATGTTGAGGAATGCAGCTAACTTTTTGCCTTTGTAACAGTACTACTTTTGTCCTGATTATGGGAACTATGTGTGCTTGACTAGAGGTGGAAATTTGATATGGAAGACATGACATCATTTTTAGGTAGAATATGTTTCATAGGTTAATTCAAACAATCAAAAAATGTAATGCTACATTCACACCGTGATTTGAGCAGTAAAAAAAATTCTGCTGATTCATTTTCTATTGCTTGTACACATTAAGGTCAGACAAGAGCATCTTTGATGCTCCTGAGGCGCGTCCAGATGTGTAGAGATGCGTCTGATGCTTCTGCTGCTCCTGTGTTCAATGGCAAAGAGTGGCTTAGGTATATTTGCTGTATTTAGTTGATAAAAAGTAGTTTTATAATATTTTTATGCAGAAAAGTCCACCTCAAAACATTGCCTGTGAAGTCAGTTCATCAAGAACCTTAAAATAACCTTAAAATATTATTTGGGACGTACCAAAGCCATACATCCCAAAAACATGGCTTGAAATACACCTTGCTAGCTAAAAGCCTGCTGTAAACTCTCAGGAGAATGCATGGAAAATAGCTACCAATTTATTTTGCCTCACCAGTCTGACTTACACATTTCATTGATTTTAATAACATCAATTTACAGCCTTCCCTCTTCTGCTTTTAGAACAAGTGTGTATTGGATGAAGACTCTATAACAGCTGTGGAATATGCTGAAATATTTAGATCACTTAAACGAACATCAGCATCTTTAACACTACATCAACCATTAGCGGATAATTAATCTGCTGCTTGCCAACTAATTAAGGTCCATATAACCTGACGAGATTGGCCGATTATTGCTGATAACGTGTTTAGCAAAAATACAAACCAGGTAATCAATATCAGTTCACATTAATAAACATTTATCAAACTAATCAGAAAGTAATTTTATCTGGTAAGAACTGAAGTGTAGCATCTAATTTAAAAAAGACAAACTTTCCTCAAGTGATTTTCCCCCTCCCCAAATACCTGTTGCAGTAGAATAAACCGTGTTTTTCTCTTTATTTACCTCATAATCTGCTAGGCTGCTTGAAACTCTTAAAAGAAATGGTATTTATCAGATTTTTAGGTGATTTTAGGTTATGAATCTTTTAGCTGCATCTTTTTATGTGAAATGTAAAGTCCTTTGCCGATTTCCTAAATGTTAGAGTAATGATGGCAGTAAGCATAAATGAGGTGTGAATGGATGGAGAAATGTTATATGGGCGAGTAAACAGATGTTTGAAAAGGACAGCTTCACAGTGGGTAGCTTGTTCCACACACCTGACAAGTACCAACAAACCATCTATTGCTCCCTTTCTTACTTTCAATCTCCCACTGTCATGGGTTTTTTTTTTTTTTTTTTACTCTGTTGTTTCTGGTAAACCATAAAAAAAAATCAATGATGTCCCAAAGGCATCATGGTTCTTTCTTGGGTGTATATCTCTGTGGGTTATGTGTGTTACGATCTCTTTGAGGTTTGAAACGGGGTCTGGTCGGCTGTGTTCTGAACAGGTCAGGTTCTTTATGGTGTATTGCAGCAAGTCTTACAGAATTGTTAAACTCAGGTTAGGAAAGCTTGGTTTTGGAAAAAAATGCTTTATAGTTCCTTTGTAGAGAATTGTCCATGACGCCTTCCTCCCTCAAGTAGATAATGATGATTCTTGGTAATACTATATTTGCAGGAGAAAGTGTTAAGCACTCACACTAGGGGATTCATTATTGAACAGTGTTTAGTAAATTCGGAAACATCAAGAACCTGATTTTGAAGTGTTTATTAAACAGGTTCAACTGCTTCATTCAGTTTCAAACTTCTTAAAACAGATAATTATATTTTTGATTGGAGTTAGAACAATTTAACAAATTTCTTTCATTTATATTCACTGTTGTCATAGTTGCTTTATCCTTGCGTTTAGTATTTGGTTTAATTTTAATGATAGACTTAGAACTTAGGCAACATCTTTGTTTGACAAGATGTGTGCTTTAGATCTAGGCCAGTGATATGGTCTTCAAAATATCATTCCCAGAAGAAATCTTTCATGACAAGTGATTTTGGCCTATTACCAAAAACAGCCTGTCCCTATCGTCTGCCTTTAAAAGGTTAATAACTCTGTCCTGTCTCTCGAGTGCCGAACAAAGGCCTATTTTAGAGAATCTGTAGTGAAAGTGCCAAAACACAAGTACACACAGTAAAGTTAATGGCAATTAATGTTTAGTGCCAAAAAATCGTCCTGTGATGTTGTCATAGCTCCACTAATCAAAGCATGAAAAGTTTAACTGCTTTTCCTCAGCTTCAACAAAAGAGAATCTGTGAAAAGCTCCCTTCAAATAAAAAATTAAAAATGTCTGGAGAAGTATCATTGGTATTTCTTTCTCCCTGTCTGTAAAGACAGCGGGACACTTAGTGTATGTATGTTTATATATATACATGTATGTGTATATATATGTATGTGTGTGTGTGTGTGTGTGTGTGTGTATATATATATATATATATATATATATATATATATATATATACACACATACACACACACTAAATATGTTCAAATGAACCCATTAGTAGATATCCTTTCTTTAAACAAAACCTTTGGTATATCTCCATAGCACTGTTAACACTCATTGTAGTGCATGGACAGGATTTGTAGGTACTTCTCCAAGTCCAAGCTCATAGTTCTTGACTAAAAACGTGTAGCTTTCCTTCTTCAGGTCAAAGAGGAGTTCAAGTCTACGTACTCCCTTCACAGAGCTGAGAGCAACTCATTCTCACTGCAGACTCGTCACAATTTGACATTTGGTCAAGTCCCCTGTGGGTCAGATATCGACACGACAGGGATACCCCTCTCGTCAGTAACTGATGTGCGGGGTTCATGACAGGCTGTACCAGGAACTTTTAAAACAACTCATTGTCACTCCCACTGAGAACATGTTGTAGAGGCAGTTTCATACATGGATCGCTGTAGCAACTGCCATAATTCAGACGTTTCATCTGTCTGTTGTGGTGAATGCATACAAAGCTCTTGGTTTAAAGGGTTTGTTATTTTTTCTTGTACCCCCACTGATAAAACAGAAATCTTGGTCACAAAAATTGCAGCTGAATTGAGATTCCTCCTCAGGGTGGCAGAACACTCTCGTAGAGATGAATATCTCTGTGTTCAAGAGAGGCCTACATTGTTAAAAGTCATACTCTCAATTAGTTATCATAACGTTTTTCTATAAATTACTTCCAATTAACATAATGAGTTTTGTAATTTCAACTTAATTTTCTGAGTTACTGGCATTTCAACTCGAGGATGTGAGTCAGTTCAGTGAAACATAAATTTAAATGTCTGAACATAACTTGACAATCTGAGTTTGAAAAAAGGTAACCGGATCTTATAAAAACTGATCACCGCTGGCAATATTAATGCGAGACCCAAATAGTGCCGGAAATTCGCTCTTTATCTGATAAGGGACTAAATATGATATAAGATTTTGTCAGACTTTATAAAGTTATCCATCCCAGTTAGAACTGCATATTAAATGAAGAAGAGGAACACCACCTGACCACATTAAGGACGTCGAAAGCGAAGTCGTGGATGAATACCATTTTTCAAAGACCTCAGTACAAAAGGCGTTCAAATTCTGCGGGACATTTTTTGGAAATACGAAGCGAGCTGGAGTCATAGAAATAAGGTAAGATTCATTTGTCTTTTTTTTTGATAATGCCACCCATTTTTAAAATATGTTAAGAGCTAAAGGTTCTCTGTTACATGTTTAAACACAGTACATAAAACAACAGCTTGCTAATTGTCGAGGGCAGGAGTTAGTTAATGCAGTTGAGCCTAGCTAAACGCAGTATGCTACTCGGTTGTGCTTATGAACTTTTCTTAAGAGAAAATGCAAGCAGCTACCACGATTTTGGTATCGTACACTTCCTCAGAAACACATATGTGGCGCTTGGTCAAAGTTTTGCATTGACGTGCTGACTGCAGGTGAGTTAGCGGCTTCGGGAAAGGCTGTGCGTCTGTATTTAGTCGTGTTTCTTGTCAGTAACCCGTGTCCTTTGTTTAATGTGTTGGCGGGCACCTGTGTCCCGTTTCTGGTTGCCGGTCTTGTGCGAAATTCTGTTTCCCCGTGAAAATCTGTTCCCGCTTTGTCGGGAGCGCGCATTGCAGCCAGAGGGGCGGATCTGTCCATTCTCAAGGCGCTCCTGATTATTTTTCGGTAAAAACAGCTCATATAATCATCTCAACTTTGTATCATCCATTTTAATCGGTTGCTCTTTTTAAAAAATTGTAAAATAATTACATTAATGAGGTCCTCTTACGCTGTTTTGTTTTGTTTTTTAAACGCAAAGAGAATCTGTATTTCTCCAACTTTTGTCCCTTCAGCCTGACAGAAATAAACGTCAGTCACCGAACACAACAACACGTAGTGTATTTTTAATTTTTCATTGCTGATATAAGAGGATGGAAACTGGCTGATAGCAGGGCACACAAATTAAGACGTCCTGTGAAGATGAGAGAAGAATTTCTGGTTAATCACCTTCTAATGTAAAATATGACAGATTACTGGATTAAGGACATTTATAGTATACCACATCACACATATCAATTTTAGAGAAATTGGAAACAGTTGCTCTTTATTTCCCAAAGATATGGGAGGAGAGGAGAGAATGGATGTTTCAGCTTACTGAAATATTCTGTTCCCCCTCCATAACAGGGGAAGAAATTAATTTACCTGCAAGTCTTTAACTGTGCTTCTTCCCCTAACCACCAAGAACAAATCCTGTGGATTTGGTCATATTTACTGGTTATATGCAAAAATTAAAGGGGGGGGAACAGATTATTTCAGCTGCCTGAAATAATCCGCAGGATTTGTTCTTGGTGGTGAGGGGAATAAGCACAGTTAAAGACTTGAATGTAAATAAATTTTTTCCCCTGTTATGGAGGGGGAACAGATTATTTCAGGCAGCTGAAATATATGGTTCCCCCCCTTTAATTTTTGCAGATCTTTGAATTTCAAAGATTTGCCTTGCCCCACAATGCTGTTACTGATTATCTTTAATGTTAAAATACTTTTTTGTTTTGTTTTTTCATAGATTTATTTTAATCTTATTGTTATATTGAGTAACAAGTTAAGTTAATTGATAAAGTAAACATTTTTTTTTACTATTAAAGTGCAGCCCCCATTTAGTCAGTGATGATTCCTTTAAATTGTAAAACCTTGTGTTATCATTAATCCAATATTTTGTCTCGTCTCCTCATGAATGTAGTGTCTTGTCACTGTACCAGAGGCTCTTATTCTTAACGTGCAAATTTTTCTATTTTTCAGGTCTAAGTTGTCTACAATGCTGCTGCGTGTCATAGTTTCAGAAAGTGAAATCAGGCGTCTTTCAATTGAAGACATCCCCTCAAGTGTTGAGAAACTGTACCAGGTGTTACGAACCAACCTTGCCTTAAGAGGAGGATTCATTTTGCAGTTTGAGGATCCTGATTTCAATAATCAGTTGTGCAACCTAACGGACATCAAAGACCTTCCTGTTGACCGTGCAACTTTGAAAGTATTGTTCACAGCTGATGACTCCACGGATTCTACACTGGACACTGGAAGCCTCTCTTCTCCAAGTAGTGCAGATTTTGTTAAATGGCCTGACTCCTTCCCGATTCCAAAGTTTTCCCATGATGTGGAGCTGCAACTGAAAGAAGCTAATTGTAGATATGCTAAGGATGGATCTGTGATGGTGATTTCTAAAACTTTGAAGACTAATATCCTTGACACACTTGCAGACTGTATGTCAAAGATTACTGCTTATCCTGACAGGCAACACTATGAAAATGTGGCCAAAACACTGGTGGAAAGGCATCCCTGTCTGCGAGACCCAGGGTCAGAAAAGGGATGGTACTCATGGTTTCACAGTCTGAAATTCAAAATGGGAAACTACAGGCATAAATTAAGCTCAGCAGGATGCCCTGAGGTGGTCATAAACAAACGAAAATCTGGAAGTTCAAAAGGGGAAACTGTCAAAAAGTCAAAGAAGGGGGAGGTGAACTACTGTCCTGATCCACCTGAAGGACAGAGTCCTGAAAACATGGAGGTGAAGCGCAAGATAATGGAGGCTGAAATGCAGAAGAAAGACCCAAATCATCAGCTGATTGAGGATTTGATGGTTTCTACATTTTCTCAGCGTAGGAAAGACATTGTAGGAGATCAACCACACATCACAGAGCTCATGTCCCGATGGCCTGCTCTGTTCCATGAGAGACAGGTAATCGCACATCTGAATTAGTTTCACCAAGAGATTTAGTGATTTAATACTGAGTTAACTGTGTCCTGATGAGTTTTATATTCTATCACCTCAGATTAGGGCAGAATTTACAAGAATCGTCACCACAGACCTTCTGAAATCTTTTGTTGACGGACTTGATGGCCTGGTTCTGAGACTGCTGGAGGTCTACAAGGCAGCAACCAAATCTGGGAAGAAGCAGCCACTCAAAGACATTTTGGACTGCCTTGCAAAAGATGTAAGCAGAACTGAAGATGGCTAGAAAACTAGGCATAATTTGTTATTTTTGTTAAAATATATTCATCTTACTGCATGTCTTATCTCTTACAGGACACGAATGAAAGGAGAAGGGCTGCTGCTCTGCTTGGTTTGCCACGCTACATATCTGGGGAAGATCCATCAACTGTCATCAGGATGTGTGATGTAAGACTAACAAATGTTATTACAAAAACTGTTTACATATTTAATTATTCCTCTTTCTTGATATCATTTCTTAAAAGTCTTTTTGTAGCATTTGTGTTTGCAAAAACTTATTTTTAGTCCTTAAAGGAGAAGTTCGGTTTTTTACACTTTTAGCCCATTTTCTGTAGTGTCCAGGATGAAATCGAATGATCGACACCAAAATTTTGACAATTGGTCCTGTCTCTGCTTTTTTGGCTCATTTAGAATCAACCCCTGGCTGCTTTAGAATGGCTAGCATAGAGCATGTCCTATAATGTCCTTAAAACAACCTTAAACGTTCTTTTTTTTAAATATGCTACTCACCGGGTCGTCAGCGCTGTTCAATGACGTTCCAAAAAAAAGTTCGTGAAGAAAAAACGTTCCTGTAGTGTTTTATTTAGCATTTTGTAAATCCCATTGAGTTCTGTAGGAATAGTCAATATTCCGCTGCCACCGGAAACGGAAATGGGGCCTGTTTACACAGTTGTAGTCTTTTCGCTTCACTCTGTGTACTCCGACGTCGAGAATCAAGAATCCACCTTTCGTATTCCATTTTCAGAGTTTTTTAAAGTGTTTAACAGAGACGTTAGCACCTCGACGTCGGAGTACACAGAGTGAAGCGAAAAGACTACAACTGTGTAAACAGGCCCCATTTCCGTTTCCGGTGGCAGCGGAATATTGACTATTCCTACAGAACTCAATGGGATTTACAAAATGCTAAATAAAACACTACAGGAACGTTTTTTCTTTACGAAACTTTTTTTGGAACGTCATTGAACAGCGCTGACGACACGGTGAGTAGCATATTTTAAAAAAAGAACGTTTAAGGTTGTTTTAAGGACATTATCGGACATGCTCTATGGAAGCCATTCTAAAGCAGCCAGGGGGGGATTCTAAATGAGCCAAAAAGCAGAGACAGGACCAATTGTCAAACTTTTGGTGTCGATCATTCGATTTCATCCTGGACACTACAGAAAATGGGCTTAAAGTGTTAAAAACCGAACTTCTCCTTTAAGAGACATTACTTCCTGTTTACTACAGCCATGCATAACATCAAATTCTGATGTAATTACTTTGTCTATCATGATTGATTTTGCTCAAAGCCACTTGATGGAAACATGCCTGATTTGCATTTTCCTTAATTTCTTTTGACATTTTAAGAATTTGATGATAAAAAAAAATACATTAGAATGGAAACATTTCTAGTGTCCTACATTTTTAGAATAATTTCAGCACTTCACAATGGGGGTTTTTAATCTGCCATACACTGTGCTCATGTGCATGAAAATACAAGTTCTGTGGATGAAAAAAGTTTGTCAAAAAGGAGGACTACCTGATGACAAAGTAAAGTGCTGAAAATATGTTGAATATGTACACATAAACAGGCTTTTTTTTCAGGTTGGACTTATTTTCAATGTCTAATTCTTCTGGATGTTTGCCTCATCCACAACAGTGGCCTGTTTCATTGCCATTATGCTCTATGCTTTGTCAAACTGGGAGTGTGTCAGGTTATTCTGACTGAACAGAAGTGCATCATACAACCCCACAAGTGTCAAAACATGCAGATTGTTAAACCTCACAATAGCATAAAAACTTGCAGTTTAAAAATAACTGAGTATTTACATTCTTTACTTACACACAAATGTCATTATTTCTTTTCTATTTTTAAGGCTCATGCTGATATTCTGGATGATGCCATGAAGGGGATGCAGGTCGGTCTTCTGATTGCCTGTGAAGGTAGTGAACAGGGGGCCATCCCACACGAGGTCTTCGACGTGGCAGTTGTGGTGGAGGAGACTATTGTGCTTCACAATATTAAAGATGTGACAGTTGGCTTTGCTATGATTATGGGTGTCATCTACTGTATCAATCTCAAGTATCCAAATGACATGAAGTATTCGTTGGAGTTTCTTCAGAGAGTGGTGATGAAGATCAGTCCAGACCAGGCCTCAGCTCGAGTACATGGTTTGAGAAACAAACTCCTGAGGTACAAACTGTAACATCTGGTATGTTTACAGTTTTGTTTTCTTAAATAAGAGTTCCTGTAAGAATTTGTTCAGTTTGTTCTATGCACTAAATGTTAATACTAATGGTTATGCACTAAAACATTTAGCATTGTGCTGAATCTGTGGAAAAACCTCTCAGGATTTTTGTGAGTTTGTTAAAACACTGATCATTTTGCACTTTTTGGACAGTTTTTGAGAGATGGTAGCTAGTTGTATTGACTTTGGACTGCTACTGTTCAACGTGGTTAAAATGTTTTGTAAAATAATGGTCTATATGGAGGACTGAAACTCGCCAATAAAATGCACTTAAAATGCACCATACCTCACAAATTTTTTACAATAAAACTTTAGGTAGAGTTCATAATTGGTGCCTTTTAAGTGCATTTATTGAGATTTATATAAAAAAATATTTCTGTTTGTCAAAAAATGTATTTCTGATTTGGTCCTTCAATAAATGTTAAAACTTCTGCTTGTCTCGAAAAAATGTTTTCTTTTTACACTTGATTTAAGGCTTGTCTCATATTTGATAGAGAAAGAAAAATGTATAATCTGAAATGGAAGCGTATTGGTGTAATTATTTTTAGAAAACTGGTAAACTTGGCATTGTTAGTGGAGAAAGTGAGCAATATTTGGAAATGTTAGTTTACTTAAATTGCAATTTGAAGTTCAGTAGCTGCCTTAAACTCTTGAGTTAAATTAACTCAAAAAGGGAATTGGTATGAATACAGTTAGTCAGTTTAACTTTAAAATGAGAGTTGAAAGTATATATAATTGTTTGCTACTTCAACAAAATAAAACAAGTTTTTTTTTGAATGGATAACTTAACTTTGCAAGGCCTTTAAACTTGGAGTATGAAGTTCATACAACTAGTAGTCATTAGTTAGACAAGTGGTATAACTTAATTATTTTAGTTCAAATAGAATATGATTGTAATTTTACTTGACAAGAGTACTCAATTTATAAAGAATGAATAATGTTCTATAGTTAGTCATTTCAACTTATGGTATCATATTTAATCAATGAATTATCAGCAATTGAGCTACTTTTCTAGCTTGCCATCCTAAGTTGGAAAAAAACATTATTTCAAGTTGTGTTAACTTGTGCTTTTAAGGCAGCTGCTTAACTCAAGTTTTTAAGTTTAACCACCCTAATTATTTTTACAGTGTATAAGAGATCTGCTAATCGCTAAGGAGGGTCGGATCTGTTCCAGATGCCCACTGGACATCTCCCTCTGGAGTTGTTTCAGGCACATCACTCTGGGAGGAGGCCCATGGCATGGCCAATGGCACACTGCAGAGACTATTTTTCTCTGCTGGCCCTTGAACACCTCTGGCTTCCCCCAGAGGGCTTATTGGAGGTGGCTAGTTAGAGGGAAGTCTGGGCTTCTTTGCTGAGACTGCTTCCCCCACAACATGGTCCTCAATAAATTTGACCGTTATTGTTTTTAAAAGTAGGCACTTTTGCCTTCGGATCACCATGACAGTTGGTAATGTTAGGAATGAGGTGCAAAACAATGCAGTTGAAAAGTGAGGGCTACGAAAATCCATCAATCAATTGGTCATTGATGGAATGTATTCTGTAATCTCTTCAGAAAAATGGAGTCTGATAAACACACTTTAAAAATGTCCTGTTCCTTATACTTCTCAAATGGAGAACCCCCACTTCTTTCAGCCTCTAACTGCAGCATCTAGCAGAATGCTCTGCTGGGCAATTTATTCTTCTAAGTTAAGTAGAGCAAATAAAAGCAAAAATAAATGAGACATATTCTTTGATGCGGACATGGGGATAATCTTGATAAATAATATAATGGATCCAAACAACTACCAATGACTTTACAGCAACAGTTTCTTTTAGTTAATTTCAACAAATGAGGATTTGTGATTGCGTTTTAAAAGAAACAGTGGAACCTGTAATGAAAAACTCTAGTTAGCAACATATTTAATGTTTCATCTGACATAAAGTTTGATCTACCAAACACACCTCCAGCATCCTTTTACAATTTTATTGAAAAATGCTTCTTAATCCTTTCTATTAAAATAAAAAAAATATACAGGTGCTGGTCATAAAATTAGAATATCATGAAAAAGTAGATTGATTTCAGTAATTCCATTTAAAAAGTGAAACTTGTATATTATATTCATACATTACATACAAACTCATATATTTCAGATGTTTATTTTGTTTAATTTTGATGATTACAAATGACAACAAATGAAAATCTCAAATTCATCATATCAGAAAATTAGAATATTACTGAAGACCAATAAAAACAAAGGATTTATAGAAATGTTGGCCAACTGAAAAGTATGAACATGAAAAGTATGAGCATGTACAGCACTCAGTATTTAGTTGGGCCTCCTTTGGCCTGTATTACTGCAGCAATGCGGCGTGGCATGGAGTCGATCAGTCTGTGGCACTGCTCAGGTGTTATGATAGCCCAGGTTGCTCTAATAGTGGCTTTTAGCTCTTCTGAATTGTTGGGTCTGGTGTATTGCATCTTCTTCTTCACAATACCCCATAGATTTTCTATGGGGTTAAGGTCAGGAGAGTTTGCTGGCCAATTAAGAACAGGGATACCATGGTCCTTCAACCAGGTACTGGTAGCTTTGGCACTGTGTGCAGGTGCCAAGTCCTGTTGGAAAATGAAATCTGCATCTCCAAAAAGTTGGTCAGCTGCAGGAAGCATGAAGTGCTCTAAAACTTCCTGGTATGTGGCTGCGTTGACCCTGGACCTCAGAAAACACAATGGACCAACACCAGCAGATGACATGGCACCCCAAACCATCACTGACTGTGGAAACTTTACACTGGACTTCAAGCAACGTGGATGAAGTGCCTCTCTTCTTTTCCTCCAGACTCTGGGACCTTGATTTCCAAAGGAAATGCAAAATTTACTTTCATCAGAGAACATGACTTTGGACCACTCACCAGCAGTCCAGTCCTGTTTCTCTTTAGCCCAGGCAAGACGCTTCTGACGCTGTCTGTGGTTCAAGAGTGGCTTGACACAAGGAATGCGACAGCAGAAACCCATGTCTTTCATACGTCTGTGTGTGGTGGTTCTTGAAGCACTCACTCCAGCTGCAGTCCACTCTTTGTGAATCTCCCCCACATTTTTGAATGGGTTTTGTTTCACAATCCTCTCCAGGGTGCGGTTATCTCTCTTGCTTGTACACTTTTTTCGACCACATCTTTTCCTTCCCTTCGCCTCTCTATTAATGTGCTTGGACACTGAGCTCTGTGAACAGCCAGCCTCTTTAGCGATGACCTTTTGTGTCTTGCCCTCCTTGTGCAAGGTGTCGATGGTCGTCTTTTGGACAACTGTCAAGTCAGCAGTCTTCCCCATGATTGTGTAGCATATAGAACTAGACTGAAAGACCATTTAAAGGCTTTTGCAGGTGGTTTGAGTTAATTAGCTGATTAGAGTGTGGCACCAGGGGCCATCAATTTTGACCCTTTTCACAATATTCTAATTTTCTGATATGATGAATTTGAGATTTTCATTTTTTGTCATTTGTAATCATCAAAATTAAACAAAATAAACATCTGAAATATATGAGTTTGTATGTAATGTATGAATATAATATACAAGTTTCACTTTTTAAATGGAATTACTGAAATCAATCTACTTTTTCATGATATTCTAATTTTATGACCAGCACCTGTATATTTTTTTACATGTTTTACACATTTTTAAGCCTTTTCCTAAGTAGACCAATGTAGCATAGAGACTGATCAACGTTTAGGACTACCATTCCACTTTTCCTTCAATGGGAGTCACAGTCTCTTAAACACACTCCTATAGATAAGCCAGCTTCACTTCTGCAGGACTGTAGATATTGATTACATGGTCTGTGTGACAACCTCGTAGAGAGATTTAAAGCAAATTTGCTCCTCGATGGCTGTGGTGCTTCATGTAATTAATGTTATGCTGTTATTGAATGGCTCAATCAGAACTTTGTCAAGAGAGACTGGATCACTGGGCGTCACTTAAGGAATGTTTCTGTAGTAGTGGTGACCCTTAATTAAGAAATAAATCTACTCAGCCTGTGCTACTGTGGTTATTTTATTACAAAATAGACTTAATAACCGTTTATATACTTTTACTTACAACACTCTATAACAATCTGCTGAGTTCCACTCTTATCCCTATTTGTTTCTGAGGTTGCAACACAACTTTTGAATACTTGCGTGTGTGCAGGACAAGGCTGACTTCATCAGTTATTTATGAACAGCCAGAGGCAGCTTAGAAAGGGGCTTGTTTTTACGACTTTGATAGAGATGTTTTGAGAGAGTGAGATGAAAGAGTGCCCAAAGAATACTTAAAGTTACTGCAAAAATAATCCCATATCTCCTCTCATCTATTGGACTAGTTAAATAAAATTACCTACTGATGGCATCCCTCCTATGACTATGTGTGAGGGCTTGGCAATTAAATGCATTTGCAATATTAATCACACTTGAACCTAATGCAATTGTTTAATCTGAGGCACAGATTTTTAATCGGATTCAAAGTTAGTGTCTTTAAAACAGTAAGAATAAATTTATCGTTTTGCCTTTTAGGTGGTGGTTCAACGATTGAATGGGATACAGATAAATGCATGTGTGGTGGGATGGTGTTCCACCCTCCCCAATCTGTGCACAAGGTGTAGCAAGAAGCAAGTCGTTGATTGGTGGGCGGGGCAGATGGCTTTATAGCTGAGCAGGCCTCTGAGTTGCATGTGTCTTTGTTTCCCCTACATTTCGGTTGCCTAAGTGGCTGGTGTGCTTGATCCGCTCATCTGAAATCGTGTCATTTGTGGCTGGGATTGTGGTTGGGCTTTGGTGTTATACCTGCCGTATGTTTGTGCAGCATTGCTCAGCTGGTGTTAGTGGCTGCAGCTGGAGGTTTGTTGCCTGCTGGTCTGCTTTCTCCCTGGTTAGGCTGTGTTTCCACTCCTGGTTAAGCTACCTGCTTAGATTTTAATTAACCTGAACCTAAATCTACAGGTTTTTCTAATGGGTTTTCTGGTTTAGGGTTATCTTGGAGCTGCAGCGCTTCAGACGCTCTGCTGGCTTGTTTGCCAGTGTCTCTTTGGGCCGCTCTCATCAAAACCTGTTGCTTCTTGGACAGGCTGAGCGGGCGGGGCATAACTCCTCTGGCCCCATTGAAAGGCATAAGAAATTGCACAATGACAATTCCATTGTTTGAAGTGCTT